GGATCATTTTATCTCTAGGTGTACAAGCGATATACGTATTTTCTCGGATTCGAAACGGACTAAGTTCACAAGAGACATCCGAAGTGGGTCCGAGTTTATATATTTATATATATCTATATTTGCATAGTACGAATACGAATTGTAAACAAGAAACCGTAGTCTGCGATTGACAATATCGTAACAATAATATTGACGTAATTATATTGAAAAGGCAGTTCATGATGATCGGCGTTACGATAGGACAATAAGGTTGTATAAGTTTTTAAATAAAATACAGGCCCTGAAAGTTGGTTAGTCAGACTTTCGATATACTACTATTAGACGAGTCGGTGAATGGTAAGTATTGAGAAAGTGTTAAATCTCCATTGTCACCGACAGTACACTTTGATGGACGGACGCATCATCGCGGAGAATAGAACAAGACAGCTGCCAAACGCCGTGACGTAGTGAATAATTACCGCGGGCTGTCCCATCTGCCTGCTCTTAATGACTCACCACCTTGATTGTTCGGACCTGGAGTAATTGCTTCTAATGTGGGTGTATGTGGGAGGCTCCTTGACAATGACCAGACCAAAAACAAACATTGCGGTTTGACCAATTTGTATACCGCGCAATTTTGCATATGACGAAACGAATGCAGTTGCCTAATACTATACGTAGTTGTCGAACAAAGTTAGGAGTTTCCGAATTGCTTCGAAAAAATACGCTAAATTGCACAAAGTGAAAACATTTTTGCGCTACCAAGAGTTGTAATAAGGTGATAGTTGCGTAGTTCAGCAATCTACAGCTTGTTATGCGCATGCAACGGTCCCCCTTTTAGTAGAGAGCAGGCATCATAATGCGCGCAATCATTGGCTATTGAGTGGGTACATGAACGGAAAACCGCACCACAACTACAGCCAGTATTTTCACAGATGGCAGATAAAGGCGTTGGCGATAAACAGACAATTGCGACGCAGTGTCGAATGAAGGTAGATAATATCTCGAGCAGTGACGAGAATATACCGGCTGTAGGACTTTGATGACGTCATTTGTTTAGATAGTTCAGTAACAAGGGAAAGGTATGTGTAATATGTATCTGGCGAAGGCGTCTAATTCTGACAACTATTGGATAATGGGATACCTTCGTCACGTATGGTACAGTGTTGGATACGAGATGCTTGCGATTTTATATAGGTTTTTGACCTTGAAGGGATAGGTGTGTAGAGTTATGAATTCTATCATCATTCTTATTAAATTATTTTGGAATGGTAAACGCAACTACAACACAACTAATCTGTCATTGTTTTAATGCTATTACATGTTTTATAATCTGAGAATGTAGAAAATAAAACTGTCGAGCGCATATACATAAATTTGTATACATTCAGCTTAAACAAAAATATATTGTATTTGAAAAAATATACCAATTTATTTTAATACTAACTTTTTAAATCCTTACTCTTGAAGAACTTGTACAACCAAAATATAAAGACCTGGAATCCTGAGATACTCGGATTGACTCATATAAATATTTATATTCAAGTTCTGTTCTATTAGTATGTAGCTATTTATTGTGAGAGAAATAAACAAACATTATTTTTTATATTGTTTCAGTGACCAACAACAGAACGTAAGTGCTTCAAAATGCTCTTTAATAAATGAAGATAGTAATTTTTTTACCAATAGGCACCAACCAGGATTCCAAGTGATAATTATCATAATAATTTGTCACGCTAATTATCTTTATACGTGATAACTATATTGATAAATATCCTAAAACAATTAGCAAAATGTCAGTTATGACATGAAAAATGATTGGAATATGCGGTAACAAAACGTACCGTTAGAATGAAAGTGAACTAATACAAAAAAATTAACAAAATTAGTTAATATAGTAAAACGCCTTTAAAAATCATTGACCATGAGATTTTTAACCGCAACTGATCTGGGTATACTGAACTGAAATGGGTCTCTTTCGTATGTTTGAAATTCCAGTTCCGCGTGTAAACGGCATGTAAACGCCGTATTTACATTTAATGTTCAATATGCATTTGCAAACACAACACGCTAGTAACGTTGGCGTTAATTAAAATCGTCATTACATTTTTTCAAATGCGACATATTTCATTGCTGAGATAAATTTCTTTTAGAATTAAAACGTCTTAATATAAGGTCATACATAGTTCTTGCATAGGTGGTGAAAATTTAGTAGCAGCAGAGCTCCTTGTGACAGAGTTCGTCCAGGGAAGCACTGCCACCTTATCTATTTCTGTCGTCAAGCAGTTATGTGAGCATTATTACGTTCCGGTTTTGAAGGGTACAGACGCTGGTGAAAATACAAGCACATGGGACTTTTCAACTTATGTGTGAGGGTGACACGCGCAGTGGCAGTGCTCCTCAGATCTCTGCGATTTAAAGCTCTGAGTGGCACTGCAACTGTTATGGACAAACGTATTGCTTACCATCAGGCGTACCGAGTTAGGTCAAATGACAACAAATAACTTATTTGTTGAGTAAGAAGAAGGCCTTATGCCAACTAGATTTTGTAAATTATATTTGAAAATTGTTAAATATTAAAAACAGAACCAATTTTTTTTGTTGTAAAGCTGAATGTTTCATGATTATTTTCTAGGCCCAACAAGGCCATTTACATATACTTCAAGGGCAATAATTTAAATAATGTGAATATGTCATAACTTCAAATCTTATTTTGCGATTTCCCAAAAAGTTGGAATTTTGTGTTGGGACAATTTCATTCTAAAAGTGCCATATTTAGGTGTCATAGTTATGTTGAGGTAAAGCAAAGCAATATGCGCTGAGATGCGTCAGCATGACATCTACGGCTTGGTATAAGAAGTGCATAAGTAATATGGACTTAGGTATTTCTTATATCAAGCCACAGATAATTTTGATTGATTGATTTTTCTGTGATATTCTGATAAGGCAAAAATGACATACTTTCCGTCAATGGGATGGGACTGATGTAAAGAGTACGCGACGGGAGCAACGACCGAGCTCCGGACTGATTAGGTACATTGCAACTTTTATTACATGACCTATAACATGGTATGATGTCGTATTTGAATTACTATGTGTGATGATTATGTTCGATAGCACTCGTAAAGTCGTAATAATATCGACGACGGCTCCACAGGATAAACGTGTATTATCAATTATCAAGAAACCAACTTTACGGGAAAAATTAAAGAGTAAAACTTCAATAACTCTGTACCTGATTAATTTATTTCGACAAAAAATTTATGACGAAAATGATGAAAATTAACCTTGTGTTTTTCGCCGTAAATGAAAAGAAATATTATTTTATATGTGTGTAATTTATATGTATGTTTGCCCTACAAAAAAACATGTGGGAGAAGAATTAAGAGGTTTATGATAGATAATAGAACATTATTTAACTGCCTCCGTGGCGGAATGGTTACCATGGCAGACTGCCACGCTGAGGTCCCACGTTCGATTACCGGGCCCGGAGAAATATTTGTATGGCCTACATTTATTTCTCCCGTGAGTTTGGGTGTAATTTGTGGTTGCCTACGTGTGTGTCCATATGGCACCCTCGACACAGAGTTTCCGTAGGGCTATGTTGAGAGTGTGCGTTATTTATTTATTTATTTATAGCCTGACAAAAAATACTTTTGCATATTTGTTCAAGGGGAAATCGATTTGAGTGTCAGTTATTTTTCAGTCATAATTATTTTGTGCGCATTTCCGACAACTTATAAGCGAAAAAAAAAATATTATTGTAAATAAATATATAAAAAAATATAAATGCTGAATATTTTATAATATTCCAAACTTTAATATAGTGCCTTTAATACCAAGTTGTCGCATTGATTTTAAAAGAGTTTAGTCAGGTGAAGAAATATTAATGATGTTAATCAAAGTTATGAACAGGAAACGCTATTGATTTATATGAAATTGAATCGAAGCAACGCGACACAGTCGTCTGCCGCCAATCGTAAAAAAATCATGTGTCGCATACGAGCGGCCGCTGCGGTGTTGTTCGGAGTAGCAGCAACACCAACGCAAACTGCGACACAATAGAACCGTCGAAGACTTGATTATATAAAACTTACTAAGTAATATTGAATTATTTGTTTATATTAACAAATTAGTCATGGACTGTAAAAAGTCAAGGCCCTGGAGTGGGTCACAGTGTCGGAATTGATAATGGATAAAAACATAAATTATCATTAACTTATAATTTTTTTATTTTGTTTATTTATATTTTACAGTATTTGGTCATTTTGATTTACCTAAAAAGGTGTTGTAAGTGATTTTTTAGGGTCGCATTTTTGAAAGTTCATTAATTAAACATAATTAAATTAATCTATTTACAAACATTTTGTTTGAACATAAATGATATAATGATGGTTTCCCTGAGTAACAATTACGAATAGGTGTCTCTAGTTTCTAGTCAGTTATCTAAGTGGGTTATCTGGGGCTTTAAACGAAATTTAAATTAAATTTATACAAAGAAAATATCTAGGGTTGGTGGACTAAAGCACATAAGTCAAAAAAGTGCTTCATTTGTTAATGTATAATTTATATGTTTCTGTGTTGTGTTGTAAATTTGAAAAAGTCGTCTCTAGAATAAAGTTACAAATTTATGAAGTAACAAATGAATTTGGCTTATGTGCTTTAGTTGGTAGATTAATTTAAATGAATGACATTGGATTTTGACTTACGTGCTTTAGTCCATCGACCCTAGATATTATAATGCAAGTTTTGACATCCGTGCTGTTTTAATATGTTAACTAGTAAAAAGAAATTAAAATCATTCTCCGTTTATAACCCACAGTGTCAACATATAAAATGCAATAAATTTCATCTGAATGACATTTTTGCAATATCAGTTGTCTTTTTAGTTATGTACTTAAATATTTACATATCGTTACTTAGTTTGGATCAACTAGATAATGATCACTAAACCAGTCATCAAATAACAACGTCCCATTCTTACAATATTTTCTACAATAACTAACAAAACTAAACCTTACCTTGCAATCTTTATGCCTATAACACCAAGTGCAGCCAATGAGGAGCCCCACTGCAGTGATGACCAGCGCCGTTGCTGGTACAGCCGCATACCAACCACTCTGTGATTCCCATCCTTCTATAGATGTGGGGATGTTTGGATCTATAAACAATTTCAGGCTGTAAATTTATATGTTACTTGCAAGTGAAAAACTACATACAGCTAAGAAACATGTTTACTTATTTGTTTGAGGGGGATTTTTCCAAAAAATATGTAACATTTTTAAATGTAATACCACAGTCCCTTCTTAACAGCTGCTATATTTGTCACAATTGTGTGAATCCTCTAGTTACACTCATTTGAAAGGCAACACACACAGACATAAGTTACACATAAAGATGTGAAAGGATAAACTAGAAACGTTTTGTAAAATCACTTATTGTATAAGCTACAGAATTATGGCAGTAAGTCAGGCAAGGGACAATTTGTATAAGAAACACATTTTAACACGACAAAAATAAGGACTATTTATCATCATATTTTCGATTTCGTATATTTGACATATAAGGTTTTCAGCCTCGGTGAGATGAATTTGACAATTGACTCGTGATCTAAATATATATCGACTAATCCAAAGAACAAAGTCCGATGTGATTATATATTGAAAAGAGGATAAATAATAATAGGATAAAAAGTCGTTGAAAAACCAAGTACAAAGACACGACGCAAGCACATAGAAAAATTTGTGAGGTCCGTTGGTTCGTTCCGTGGCTTAGTTGGTATAGCGTCTGGCACGGTATGCAAGAAGACGTCGGTTCGAATCCGACCGGATCGAAGGAATTTTTTCTGAGTGTTTTTTCCGAGTGTTCGATCTTTGTATTAATAATTATAACAAACTAGTGGAGTAATTTCACAAAAAATAATTGAATATCAATTCAATAAAAATTTAATTAAGAGGATAAATACATAATTTCATTATTCAAACTAAGGTCTATGTAAAGGTGTTTTGAGAATTTTAAAATCTTATTTCTTTTCAGAAATATAAAATCGAACATCAGTCGATCTGATATCCACAGCGAAGAAGAATGAAGGAAATGTACTATGTCCTGAGAACAAGTAGTCTTGCACATAGATCTTTGCTCTACGGATGAGTCAATATGTTGTCAGATAGTCAGTAGTTGAACAGACAGTAGCATGTCAAGCCACGCACTGATAGATGTTATTCCATTGCACTGGAGGTGCGTATTCGAATAAAAGTGAATAGCTTGATATTGTTGACTGTACACATGATGTACAATCTTTCATATTTACATTTTCTCTTCAATTTTATTTAGTGGTCCTAATTCATATGTTTAGTGTGGTGTAGATTTCAATATGTTATAACTTTTTAATAATAGTTAAACTCCAGCCGCCGTCACATTCAGTATAGTGTGCCTGTTCTTTCGAAATTGAAAATTTGAATTTACCTTCAAAATATTTAGCAGAGTTGGAACTAATTAATCAATGTTGATATTAGCAGACTGTAAAAATGTTCTGAAGTAAATAACGTAACTAATTGCCAGTATGATGCCTTGTTTATCTTCTCATGGTAGAATAATATTGAGAATTAATAATAAAATGTTCTAAAATTGATTACCGTGAGGGTACGTCTGCGGCGTCGATCTCAGAGGCGATCCACAGCCCAAGTGGGAGCCGGTCAAGGCCACCAATAAAACCACCCATAACACACCCATCATTGTTACATTATTTGCACAGCCGCATTATTTTCCGTTTCATTATTTATCGTTTTCATACATCACAACACAAAAAATACACGGTCCATGACAGGATTCCACTATCGAAAAATACTTCAAATGCTACACGATTTTAACACTACAAATTACGTATGATTAACATATCCACTGTCTAGATTATATTTTGCACTTAAAACTTAGACTTGACTACGAATTTCATGCACTTTTACATCAAAATTGCGCAACCCGCAGCTGTACAGAACGCCATTTTTCTAATTTAGTGTTGCTAGACATCCAATTATCAATATTTATCTACCACTTATTGTCATTTGGCAACATTACTTTTCTACTACGGTCATGGAAACCACAGTGGAAATTTTTCCGGAAAAATTCCGAAAAATCAGAAAAATATAATTTCAACGTTTAGAAATATCTCTTGCAGTTTTATTTACGTGAATTATAAAATAAACTTGTATGCAAAATAGGCGCCTTGTCGTCGAGTTGCGGACACCAGCCCGTTACACCAAGTACCAAGTACCAAAATAAACTTGTATAGCTAACAGCGACATAAAGAGATAAACAATAAAATGATTTCACAACAGCGAAAAAGAACTTTACAAGGCTCCATCGTTTTCGTACAGTAATTTCAACTTGTGATAGACGTCAACGTCAAATGTGGAAAATATAAGGAAAAATATCCGGAAAAATATTTTATTTTTCTGAAAAAAATACTACTTTTCAAAAATGGAAATTTTTCTATGACCCAACACTAGTTATTATATTTTAGTGGCGAGTCATGGAAAAATATATTTTTCAAACAAATAAATATTTTTGGATACCTCATTCGACGTTGACACGCTTAGATGCTCTAAGTTGACACCTGTCAAAAGTTAATGTTGGAACGAAATCGATGGAGCCATTGGAAGTTGGAATTGGTGGTGGATAGAAGGCGTGGAAAGCTTAAGCTTGTTTAATTAACCTAGACAAACACAAATAAATAGATTTGTAAAGTACTTAGAGTTTTTTCCTATAATGGCAAATTTCAACTATAATAACGAACAGGTTCTACTTGTCATAGTAACCCTATTTTTTAACATTGGAAAGATAATTTTTTGCTATTATGAAATCATATCAAATCTCGTTTTTCTCTATGGCTTTTAGCTGTACAAAACTTGAAAACATTCTAAATAAATCTTCAAAAGACATTTCTAAACGTAGAACATAACATAAACCTTCAAAATTATATTTTTTCAATTTTTCGGGTATTTTACCGAAAAGATTTCCACTATATTAGTAGGAAAATTTTCGGAAAAACCAACAGTTAAGGGTCGTACTCCAGAACTCTACTCAATCCTCAAGTCAGGACTTGAGTATGATTTAAAGCACTAGAAATCATACTCAAGTCTTTGCCGTTAGGGTCGTCTTTCCAGTGTTTGAAATCATACTCAAGTCCTGAGGTCTACTCTCGATCTCCGTCCGAAACAATTACTGCCAAATAAGCAATAAAAAAATACTTGACCAAATGAAAAGACGCGTGATGCGAATGAAGCTTCATACTGGATACTTGTCTTTTAATTTTGTCGAATATTACTTATTTGATACTAATTGTTTCGCACGGATGTCGGACGCAGATCGAGCGTAGCCCCCCAGACTTGAGCATTGAGTAGAGTTCTGGAATACGACATACGTTCCCTAAAGTTGGTTTTTTTTAAATTCATTAAGGCTTTGGCAAAGCCATCAGCCTAAACATGAAGTTTAAATATGTTTCTGTAAATATGGCCGCCACAAAGAGAATAGGCAATTTGAGGCGGCGTGCTTGGATTGACTTTTTTTTATTATATTTATTAACCGTATCGGCCCGTTTTAAGGAATCCCGTCCTTAAAACGGGCCGATACGGTTATTTTATTTCGAGATTCGTATAATTTCGCGTTTTAATCTTCGATTAAGGCACAATAGCACTATCCTATTCCACTTTAAACTAGATTTCACAAAATAATTGAAAGTCAAAATAAAAACGACACTTTTCCCTCCAAAAGGTCCGAGCGAATCTCTCTCTAAAGTTGCTATCTAGTGAAGTGTTACCATAAAATTAACCCTGAGTCTTTAAGATGGAAAACTGTCAATCAGCAGTTGTAGTTTGTGAGGAGTGCACTTAGAGGATGGAAAAAATGGAGTGTAATGTTCTGTGGTTGTGGTTCTGTCATGTCAATGTCAAAGTAACAATTTTCTTTAAAAGATAAGTCAGTTAAAAGCTGTTCTAAATCTAAAAATGTGTCAATGAATTTGCAACTAAATAATAATTATAAAAAAAAACAGATTTTTGTAGAAAAGTGGGACAAATGCTCGTAAACTAGAACTAAATAAGTTATAACCTCAAAAACACATGTACGGTAAAAGTGTATTGTTTTCTCGGGTAGTTAGCAGTAGTAACGTACGCAATAGTGGTAACAATAGTAAAAGGTTGTTGGATTTTCTAGCCGACATGCCGAAGGCTAATTCCCCGAGAGTAGCAGAGGCACAGCGTCAAAGGCAAGTTATATCGAAAAAGGGGAATAAGTATGGCCCTAGCACCGTTTATCTGCAAGTCCTGGGCTCCGGAGCACGTGGAGCGCCGAATACTTTATATCTCTTTACAGACCATAAACGGTAAGCACATAATTGCGTTTGCATTATAGGTACTTAAACTGATATCTCCCTAATTTTCACAAACATTAATGTGGCTGAATGACAGCAGTTCTACTGCTTTGTGTACATTTAAAATATGTTATTAATTATATTTAACAAAAATATAATAATTTATTTCCTATTATCAATGCCATTATGTTAGAATGTGGTATTCATTCATTCAATTTGTTAACGTTGTGTTAACAAATAGTATTGCACAACAATGTGTAGTAATAAAAAAAACTGTTTTGAACAAAATAATTTTTAACAATGTTTTATTTTCGATAATGGGTGTTTACAAATATTGGAAATTAATGTATTTAAAATTTGTATATTACTAAACAAAAATAAATTAATTTATAACCAGTGGTCGGAAATTCCGGTGCATTTTTACCTACAATTTGGTGTTCACTGAATATGGAATGCACTTTTGAATCGTAAACATTTTCAAAAATGTTCAGTAAAGTAAATAATTGAAGGAAAATAAACATTTTTAATGTTATTTAAAATTTTATGTAACATTTAAATTATTATTTTGTCATATTTAAAAAGTTGACAATGTAAAAATATAAGACACCAAAAACAATTTCAAATCAATCATCAAAAAAAAACTAATGTGAGACTCAGACGTATTCACTAAAAACACGGATTACTCACGTATTAAGTCAAAATTTGCTCGACATGTTCTTGTTATGTTGTGACTGGTTTAAAGGGTAACATAAGTTATTCAAAAATGTATTTAAAATATAAAAATTGTAACATGTCACATCATTCTGACATTCCGGGACTCAAAAGCAGAAAAAATAAAAAGAAAAATTTTTAAGAAGCCGCTTCTATACTTTTACAGAAAATCACGGGAAACAGTGAACTTTAGGTATAAAAGAATCGGAATGTCCAACCACTGTTAATAACAAACTTAAATTTAACAATAAATATTGCACAACATTTCTTTTGTTTTATCCTAATTGCATCAGATAATTTAAGCTAATAGGTGAGTGAATTATGATGTATCTAATTTCATTATTATACTTATTATATTTTTGTTATATATAATTTTTTTGTATGTATTATATTATTATACTTATTATATTTTTGTTATTTAAAGTGGTTATGTAAGAATTTACCTTTTTTTCATCTGACTGGATGGAAAGTGATGATGTCGTTAATGATGGAGCATATAGTCACTTAAATAAAACCTATTTAGTCTTGCTTTGAAAAGACCCAAGTTATAGCACTCAGGGAATAATTTGAGCAGGCAGGGAATTACTCTGCATAGTCATTTGACATATAAATATGGAACTATGATGCTTTATACCATTCCTTTTTCCACAACTCGTTCATCTCATGGTCTCCTTTCTTCAACTCAGTAAATCTTTTTCTTTAAAATAATACACTACACTTTTAGTCAAAAACCTTATCTACACTCTTAGTCAAAAACATATCTACACTATTAGTTACAATGTCAGTTATAATGTGCATGGTTTCTTATAAATTTGCAATTAACTTAAACTTCATATCGTCTGACATTAAAATCTCATCTATTTCATTGAATTATTTTGTTTTAATAACAGATACCTCTTCAACTGTGGTGAAGGCACACAAAGGATTGCACATGAACACAAAGTCAAATTATCACGCCTAGATCACATCTTTATCACAAGTAAGACGTGGCGTAACCTTGGTGGTCTTCCGGGGCTTTCTCTGACACTGCAGGATGTTGGAGTACCTAAGATTGTTCTACATGGACCAGAGGGCTTGGTAAGCATACTTTGTTTATGTGTTTTGTATGATATCAGAATGTTGATTAAAGCTTTAATAGGACAATGTGGTTTGAATAAACATGTGTCAAATCGTTCAAATAATGTGTAGCTATAACTTTTTAATGTAATTGTAAATGTACTTCAAATTAACAAAATCAGTTGGTGGCATAAAAAAACCATAAATAAGACAGTCTTCAATGACTAAAATACTTGTTTCAGGATGAGCTGTATGCTGCTACAAAAAGATTTGTAATTATGAAAGACATGCAGGTGAGCATGGCACCCTGTGGACCAAACGATGATTTTGAAGACTCAGTCATGACCGTCAGATATGTTCAATTGTGAGTTATAATAATAATATTTATGTGTAAAGCATGAGTACAAATGAATACTAAATAGGTTTCTATTAGAAGATAGAATTGTGAAGTCTTGGCGCTGACAGTTGTGTTGTATGGTAATCAATGTAGTAGCAGTCTATATGCAACTATGTGTAAGAGTTTTTGAAAAAAAGTACTTAAACACAGACAGATTCCACATGGAAAGCCAATGGAGATGATAATGTCCATATTTATTTCATGCTCTTCTATTTTGAATAGTACTGTATTACATTCAGTTAATATGTCTATGGGTCAAAACTGACCCGTAGCAATAATTAATTAGTATCGGACACATGTCCTGTACCTGGAATTCGGCTTAATCACTTAATCAGTTGACATTTAATTTTTCTGAACAGAGGGCCTAATGACGACATTCTGTCAAAAGAAATAAGACCACCAGCGAAAAGGCCAAAACAGGATGTGCACGAGAGAGAATTGGAAAAGTTCTGTCGTGACAACACTGATTACTACCAGTCGGAATGTGTTGAGTCACGGAAACCCAAATCCGCGAAAGGACCTTCTAAAGTTGGTAAGTTAAATATATTGTATAATAATATATACAAATACCACAAATAGTACTTCCATTCGCCAATAGATGGCATTCAAAGTATTTTCAATCTATAGGTGGCGTAATTTATTTGCGAATATGAGTTTCGTGAACTTACATTTCTTTTACAGACACTGTAAAGAAGACTGATCAAGTTCTGCATGACTTGCAGAAGAAAAGTCACTGTACTCTTGCTTATATCTGTACTCTGAAGGTGAGAGATGTAGAATAATAAATATTTTAGTTGCAAAGTTCCCAGCTGAGTGAGAAGGTTCATAAATCTCTCACAAGATGTCGCTTACGGCGCGGCGTTGAAAGCCGAAAACTTGTTGACTCGACCTATAGCTCAGAGTTGTGGTACAGCGTGGTCGCCGATTCAAATCCTGTTGGGTCGAAGGAATTTTTCTTTGTGTTCGATCCTTCTATTAATAATTATAACAAAGTAGTAGAGTTAATTCACAAAAAAATATATCAGGAATAAATATTTAATTTTGGACTACAATGATCAATATAAAATATACAGGTTGCAACAAAAAGCGACCAACACATTTCAGTTAAGGATTTTACTGATAATTCCAACAACTGTGGCATAAAAATAATTGTTATTTTGAATAATTTTTATTTAAAACAGAAACGCTGCAATGGCGCGACTGTAGCGCTACAGCCGTGCCATTACTAATTTTCGTACAATATTTAGAAGCGCAGCTGCAGCGCCACAATCGCGCTACTTTTGCAAAGTAGATAGAAAGTGCCACAGACGCGTCACTGCGTTGCTTCTACAAGCATCTTATTTGAAGACGTCCTAACAACGTCACGTTCTAAAATCTCATTTACACTAATCATTGACGTAATACCTAACACGATTTCGAACGTGACGTTTCGACGTTTAGATGCCTAGAGTCGGAAATTGTAGTAGTTTGATGACTGTGGCCTTTAAGGTATTGTAAAAAAAACTTTGATGACAGTAAATAGAAAACAAAGAAAAGAGTCTTAAAAAGCTGTTTTAACGATGCTATTGAGCCATTAATATTGGAAATGAAACTATTTTTTCGGATATAAATTATGTGTATTTGTTTTTTCAAACAAACCAACATCGGCCGTGACCACAGAACATGTAAAGAGACCGAAAGGTATTCGCGATTTAACGAAACGTATTCGCGATTTAATCATAGGCTTTCGACATGTCGTTTATTAATGATAAAAATATTTATTTTATTTTAATAATTATATTTATTTTTATGCATGTAATATTGTGCTATGTGGCCACATGAGTAAAGAAAAGGAACAGAGACAAAGCTTCATACAACCGCTGTATGACAGGTACACTACTACAAGTTTGAGGCGCGTTTGTGAGTGAGCGAAACCTGTTTAAACCGGCTCGGACGTGCCACAAAAACAATCTTATTTCAACGTTAGCTTAAAGTAAGCTTATTATAATATTACTCTTATTCGTACCATGACGAACCTGTCAACCAAGTAATGTATTATTGCTAGTGATTGAAAGAACGAATGATTTCCCAATATTGTCTATTCCTTACTAAAAATAGGAATGAGATAACGCTATTCGAACTATATAATGCCATCTCTTTCTTTTTTGATGATCCGAATGGTCTTTTCGTAGTATAATGTTTAAGTACTTAATGATATTTACATTCAGAGAATTTTGACAGTTAAAAAAATAAAAGTATGTAATAATAAAATCTGTGAAAATTACGTTGTTTTCAATAATTATTCCGCATTTTCATGAAGAAAAATATATAAAACAAGCTGAGTCTTGATAGTCACGTTGTGGATTCGGATCTATAGCTAGTGTCAACTGTTAGTTTCGCAAAGGGGCATATAGATGGCGTTGTCATAATTTTACGAACATCGCGTATTTTTACGTAACGAGAAACTCCTATGTGCTATTAAATAAAAAATAAACAAAATATTGAAGAGATATATTTAAATAAATAAGTTCAACTTAATTTTTAATCATTACAAATCAATATTAAGATAATAAAACTGAAAATAATATTGTTTCCATTGCATCCGTGCAACTATTTTATGATTGCTAAATTTGACATAAGAGCAATATTACTTTAATGTTAAAGTCGCGTCATAGTACGAACTGAGTGAATGAATAGTCACAAAGCTGCCAATAAAACATCATAGTTTTAACATTACAATAAGCTTACTTTAAGCGCATTATAGTACGAAAAGTCAATGCAAGGTTAAAGTAATATTGTTTTAAGAGGTTGTGGTAGGCCCTCAGGGCTGGCGATATACACGTAGCGCGTCGTGTTTGGTTGTAATTTTTGACATATAGGTATATGTTGACTAGTAATAACTTGTTTAGTCATCCTATTATTTTACTGAGTAAAACAAAATGTTCACATGAATTGATTTACTTACTTTATGTACATAATTTTTATAATATGTGTTCATAAAAAGTGCAAATATGGTTTACTTTACTGTGTGTAAAAATAATAAGATGTCGAAAAAAACGTAAGTCTCGTTTTATAGGTATCCCAAGGACTCAACTCGGTAAACAGGAACTTGATTACAATTTTTTAACGTCGTAAATTAAATTACCATAATACCTCAACATCGAAAAAAAATGTTTTACTATTGATCGTACAATCATGGTGGATTGGTTTTCAAGTCGTAAACGGTGCTCTCAGAAGCAAAAACAACGACAATTTAAGAACTGTTTTTTTTTACAATTAATGTCAAGTGATTGGTGTTTATGTTTTGAAATACGTAGGTACTGTCAACAGCACATCAAGCTATAAGCTTTTGTTCGGATATCGCCTCCCGAGAGACATGACAAAATCCGTCAACGTGTTGCTTGATTTGCTACCGTCTGCATGAAATGAAAAACCTGAACCTTCGCATTTTAATCGTGGGTTTAAATATATTATGTATATAATTCAATGTTTATTAATTAAAAAAGATGGTTCATGTCTTTTTTAAATATTTGAGACGACAGGAGTGGTTAAAAGAAGGAAGGGCGATATCTCCTTTTAAAATTTATTGATGATAAAACGAGGTCAAATCATAGAATTAAACAGTATTAATATTGGTAGTGACATACTAAAACATATGCAAAATTGTAAATTTGATATGCCATGTGAGCGCTTTCCATTGGATTATTTAAAAAGACCTTATGATAGATTTAGAATTACCATTAAATTAAAAGGCGCAACTAATTATTGAAAGACAAAAATGATAAAAAATATTTAGAATAAGCCATTTGTAATAAAATATGCTCTCATATCATACAATTTTATTGACTTAATTTTGTTCTCCTGTGCCAACCCTACCAAACGAGGTATAAATTTTGCACGCTCTTTAGCAGTTTTGTCTCTGTTCCTTCTTTTTTACTCATGTGATGTGGGTGCTATTTAGGTTGTCGCGTTTATGTAGTGCCTCTGATATTTGTCGAATTTTTAACGACCTCGGTGGCCCAACGATCTGCACTGTGGGCACTGGATGAAGACGTTCTGGGTTCGATTCCCGATGGGACCAATTTAGGAAATTAACTGTTCTAAAGTGGTTCTGGTCTGGTTGTTTTGGGAAGTGCCCAAGAGAGAATTCCGTTGCTCTGGCACTCGTGGTACGTGAATTTCCTAGTTTGAGACCAGGCAATTGGTGTGGTAGTCGGTTACATTATTAATACGTTTTCTGAGGCACATACGGATTGCTTCTTTAGTAATTCACACTTCTATGTCGGCTACGCGGCGGTCTAAATATCATCTATAGCGCCCTTCCCGACAAATGGCACTCTACGATGGTGCGGCGCCGGCTTGAAGCTGCATAAAGCTTTAAGCCGGTAGCTGCACGCGCGGTTCTGTCTGACAGTTTCGCCTGCTTAAATTTAAAACATGATTAATACTAACACTGTAGACTGTCTGTTTTTTGGTGACGTAATAAAATATCATTTGCAGGGTTGCCAGTTTCATAAAATTTTAAACAGTCATGTAATTGTTGTGAGAGAGAGCTTTATCGATAAATTGTGAAAGAAGGTAATACTGTCAAAAATGTCTGGATTGTAAATGTGACGATCTTCTAATTCCCAAACTTATTTTGTCTACTGCCCACTTTGACAATAAATTATTTTTTAGCGCCCCCATTGTTTCACTTACTTAAAAACCACTATAACTTCAAATTAAATTGATTATTGTGAGCTATAATAGCGGAGATTAAACATTCATTATAAACAAGACTTACTATAACCCGCAAGAGTTAACTTGAGACCTGAGCGCAGTAGGTAGTACACCGGCGCTCCAGTCTCAAGTTAACTCTTACGGCCTACACCTGCCAATGAGAATGATATTTGAAACGCAACTTTATAGTATTCAGACAGAGTAGCTTTTATTCAAAATAAAACAAACTTAATCGATTCTAATATAAAAAATAATGTGAAGGATGAATCTGATGCTGTTTAATAAGTTTGTTGATATCAGGTTCCAATTTACTCAAAAACAGCCGCAAGTCACCACGTTCGGTAACATGAAAACGATTTCTCTTTTTAGTAAGCAGCGTTGTCACAGCGCTAAAACCTCGTTCATACAAATATGACGATGGGAATGCTATCAAGAATCGTTGAACGATTGACCACAATCCTGGGTACAATTGCGGGATCGGTTTTTGTAGCCAAAATTTTTGGTAGCCATTTTGGAACTTGATTTTTATTTCTTCGTTCGTTGTCAATTCTATAAGTTCTTCTTCCAGCTAAGGTAATATTGCTGTGTTGACATTTGAAAACGGATCCAACACCCAGTCTGGTATTTCCAATTTGGGTTAGGGTTTGGGTTGGGGAAGTTAGGGGTGAGTTTGGGACTATATTGGGGGTGGGTTGGGGGTGTGGAGGGGGTAGGTGACCACAGATTATTGTACTGGTAACTCAGACACAACTTTTTTTTGTGAAACGTGCCATCTATCCCTGTTTTGTCAGTTCTACCATTTACTCGCGTGGCATTTTGGAGAAGAAATTATTGACTTTATTTTTTGTAATGAAGTTGTTAATGTTGTATTAGCTTATTACGAATCGGTCGAATCAGTACATTTGATATTACGTGAACTAAATGTGAACCGTATCCATACATAGGTACTGAAATTCCTTTTTTATCGGCTAGATGTCGCTCAACGTTAAGAAACTAAGAAACTGAGAGTTGTAGATATGAGTCCGGTTACATACTAATTAGTCATTCGAGTTTCTTTTTAACTGACTTCAAAAAAGGAGGAGGTTCTTAATTCGACTGTATGTTTTTTTGTTAGTATGTTACGCGATAACTCCGGTATTTGTGAACAGATTTTCATGATTCTTTTTTTGTTGGAAAGGGGGTACTTCCATAGTGGTCCCATTTCATTTTGAAGAAAATCATCCACCTCTAAAAGTGGCTGTTCACGCATGAAGATTCATTTTTATAAATAGCGCCTAGATTTTACTAAGGAGCAATTATTTTAATGGTTGATTTTGCTATTTCTCTGATCCAAGGCGTTTTTCTCTCCATATACTTTGAGTAGTGAGAACCGATTTTTGTTATCTCCAGTGTGTAGTCCTGTATACTGGCGAATTTAAGGATATTTCAATAAAACTTAGCAAATAGACGAAGTTCAACGTATTTTTGAGGTCGGTTTTTTTAAAACTATGATTTTATTTCCAGACTTAGATAGGCCGCTATTATAATTAGAAAAACCTAATGAATTTATTTTATTCAAACTTGTAATTAAAACATTTAAAGACGCTAACGAATTCTTTTAACTATAAGTTTGCCATTGTCCTTTGTCGACTGCAATCACTAGCTGCGTACAAGCGGGCAGCACTTTTGCGGAATGAACAATATAAAAAAACGAAATTAATTAATGTTATTATTAATAACTTTTAGTAGTAAAGGCTTTTTTTTATTTACTATTTATTATATTTTAACAGAAACGCCTGGGCACTCTGAATCTACAAAAATGCGTAGAATTGGGCGTTAAGCCAGGTCCGTTGCTGGGCCAACTAAAGAATGGACATGACGTAGTGCTGCCGGACGGTACTCTTGTCTTATCTAAAGACGTCAAGACCCCTGACGATCCTGGACCTGTTTTTATTGGTAAATTGGTATTCATTATTGGCCTCTTAGTGAGTTTGCTAATAGGATTTTAAAGTGTGCTAAAGACGTCACGCCATCGGTTAATGCAATCAAAAACACGCTGTTCGTAATATTTCACTCATATAATTTCATTTATGGGTTATTGATTGAATCTAATTTTAAAATTAATAGAGTTTTTTGTGAAAGAGTTGGTTCAGAGAAGTACACCAACGAAAGTTTTTGTCACGGAAGCGTTTCTGATTCACGCAACGATGCTGCCTCTTAAGCGTAACTGTGCACACGCAGGCACGCACGTAGGCACGCACGCACGCACGCACGCATGCATGCACGCACGTACGCACATGTTTGTTATTCGATTCAGCTTTCGTTGTGAAGCTAGTGCCTCTACCACAAGTTTACAGTGACAGTTGTCTCACGCTAGCATCGACAGTTGTCTGTCGCTAGCATTGGACTCGATCCGACTTTAAAAGACAATATTGTAATTTGATGACAAGCATGTAATTTCATTCACATCATGCGTACTTTTTATACGTATTTTTTTTCCCTGAGCGCTATAGGCACTACAGAACTCGATCCGCCAGGTTTTGTTTTGTGGCGGTCAAAGTTAGCTCCAGCCGCAGAAATTGGCAGTACATTACCGTCCGATAACCCGCCAGTCGCTTTTCCCGAACATGGACCCCGATTCATAACTTCGATATTTCAACCGAATCGTTAGATTGGATATCGTTCTCGAATCGAAGGGCGCTTTCCGAGCTATTCAGAATATTCGAGTTAAACATTCGATTCGGATTAGAACAATAGGATGTACGATAATTTTCATTCGATAACTGTGTTTTGAATAACGTTTGTAGCATTTACCGGTTGAGAAGTTCGAGTAATCGTACGGGTGTGACGTCATTTCCGTTCGGTTTCGAATACGACAGTTTGACGTTCGATTAGTGTTGTGAATAAAAATGAAAAGAAATCCGTACGATATCAAATCATAACTGAGTTATCGTAAGGTTCTGAATCGACCCCCTGAGGCCCGTAAATAGGTCCACATGGCATTTTTATTCATATCCATCGTCCAGGCCATGCGGCGCGTTACTCCACCAGTGGCGGGCACCGATTACTGGGATCGAGTGACTCCAGCCCCTGCCGATACCAAACCAACTGGTGGTGATGGATCGTGAGTAGACTGACCAGGGGGTCGATTCTGCAAACGTTATTCAGAACACAATTTATCGAATGAAAGTTTCCGAACGTCCTATTGTTTACAAAGCAAGAATGTAATATGGAAATCTCTTCTTATTTTAAATAAAGTCTGGATTTTGTTCAATTTTATTAATGTATTTTAATGCAAAACTAATGCATTCCTATATTTTACGCCTTTGAAGTCTTATAAAGGTATATAAAAGGATTTTCATTTTTCTTATAATCTATTTGACCGACTAACTCTGTAAAGGCTGTTGGATAACGATATCGTATCCGAACCCGAATCGAACGATTAACTCAAATATTCTTAATACGAGAACGATATCCAATTGAACAATTCGGTTAAAATATCGAAAAGTTCTGAATCGGTGTCCCAGATGTTAGTTTTATTATTATTATTATTATATGTATTTTGGACTCTCGCCTCTCCCAAGGCCTAAAAGATTAGTTTTGAATGTTCAAATGGGAGAGGCGGTATTCCCTGGCAATGGCACAGTCGGCCGGGGTCAGGGACTTAGATTCAAGAACCGGCGAATAATACGTGCTGTATTGTACAGAACCGCCTTCTGCATTTGTGCTGGAAGCGACACGCCACAGAAATCTAACCACCTCAAGCTATTGTTATTATTACTCGTTTCAGTGCTCGATGTGGAAGATATCGAATATCTAAAGGAGAGTGAGTTTTCATCGCACTTCGACGACGGCGTCAATCCAGAGGAAAATATACCAACTATCATTATACATTTTACACCGCCACACGTTTTCCACGATGCTCGGTGAGTGCATAGGCTACAACAGAAATTTACCCACTACTTTATGGGTTGGTAGCATTGACTTACAAATAAATGGACGCCGGGTCTAATACAAAAACCACGAAAAAAATGTCCCAAGTCAACCTATTCGAAATTTAAATTGTAATGTCATCGCAGTGTCGCGCTGTCAGTAGAACAAATGAAGACTAAAGCGGAGTTTGGCGCTCTGTATACGATTTTAGCGCCTTACAAGTGCGGACACTTTTTAGCGCGGACCCGACGTCCATATAATTGTAAGTCAATGGTTGGTAGGTACCAAACGTGTCAAGGATCACTTCTTCAACCCCTAAGTTTCGTCTTTTTTCCGCTATCCCTTTATTTATCTCCTATATTTATATATTTTTTTTTCTCTCTGCAGAGGTGTGTAGCTATTTTATATTATTGTTTACTTATTGTTGTTATGTATCGAGTTCTTAGGTTTTCGCGATTGTTACACATAGGAAAGGAAACTATTTTTCCGGATTTAAATCGCGTATATTTGTTTTTTCAAACAAACCCCGAATATATTATAATATTATATATTTGTTTGAAAAAACAAATATATAATATTATAATAGTGCCATGGTCACGGTTGACTGGGATGGGACCATGGGAACTATAAAGGGCCCGAAACGTCGGTTTGTTTGAAAAAACAAGTATACGTGATTTAAATCCGGAAAAATAGTTTCATTTCCTATGTATAACTATCGCGAAAACCTAAGAACTCGATATGGTTTTTATTATTTATTTATTTATTATTATTATTATTATTATTAATTTTTATTATTATTATCATTTTAGATTATTCTATGTATCTCATTGGCTAACTCTAAAATGTTTAGTGCTGTATACATCAGTAGCAACTTGGCACCTCATATGGTGAACGTATGTATATTTATTTCTAATATTATTAAGTTGATGGAGTATCTTTAATTAAATTAATTAAATAAATAAACCTGCTTACATGGTCTATCTGAACGACTCTATACTGATATAATAATATACAGCACCGCGGCTTAAATGGTGTCACAAGTCATAAATCATTACTTTTTGGTGGAGTAGTGTACCATGCTTTCGAGTAAACAATTTGGATAATTGTGGATTGTTGGAAAATTGGTCGGTGGAGTATTTATTCGAAAACCTAACCGTCATATTGAGCCAATATTTTTACTTGCCACATTTGCCATTTTTTAGTTGTGTCAATATTAAAGTGGTGTGAGACGTACAAGTAAGCACATACTGAAGGCATAATTTTAACACTCACCAGTTACCAAGCCTTCCTGAATCTCTTCGGTACGTCAACTCGTCATCTACTTCTCAATGAGCAGAACGCCTGTCTTGGCTCCGAAGCGGTGCACCGTACACAACACAAGTTGCATCTGTTAGATCCGGACATTTTCCCACTATTGAAGGACGTCAGTGTACCAGCTGTTTGGAGCGCCCATCCCCCGTTGACAAAGAGTACCAGTCCACTTAGATTGAAAGGATTGGAGGAACTAAAAAATAGGGTGAGTTTATTAAGAACTAGGGGATTGCTTCTGGCTGTTTATATATTTTTTCGATTTAGTAAACATTCCGTTTTCAAAGAATGCTTGATCGAAATTTAATGGGAGTTAATTTTTTGTTCTATTTTTAAAAACATTAAAATTTTTTTAGTATTCGAGGTATGGTAATGTTAATCTTCAAGACAAGAGCAAATGGTGTATATTGTAAATGAAACTCATGTATGCGGAACTATATCGCGTATATTTGTTTTTTTTTTTCAAACGGACCAACGTTTCGGGCTTTTTATAGGTCTCATGGTCAGGGCAGTCAGCCGCAAAAAGTGTTGCGTATAGAATCCGAAACGTTGATTTGGTTAAAACTAAATGAATACGCGATTTAAAACCTTTGATTGCCAATGTTTAACAACTAACTTAAGCATTTAAGGCAGTTCCCCTTCATGTCCCATTGATTTTTTTCGCCCTGTATACGTAAAATATTTACTCTTTCTTGCTTTTAATTAGCGGAAATACTGATTTTTTTCTTGTACAATACCCACACATCCTGCATGTATGCTTAACAGCTTTGGCTTATCGGTGACGGTATAATTAATCGTTTTTAGATTGCCCTCGCCCAGTTCCAGAATATAATCAACATGGAAGGTCCGTGTAAGGGTGACTTTAAACCGATCGCCACGCTAGAAGACAGCGAGAAGCTCGACATCATCGCCGGACGAACGTTGACTGTGTTCCATTTGAGACCTAATATAGAGCTTGATAGGTAATTAAATACAAAATGTAGTGCATGTTATGAAATCACAACCACGCATTACTCTGTACAAATTGTCACTCCAAGTGTCTATACAACCTCAAATGGCTTGGTTGATCCGACTTAGTTTGGTTTAATCCGACGATTCATTATAATAAACAATAAGAATGTATTATAATTATTTATAATTCATCACATTTCATTATAATTTATTAGACAGATACCAAAATTTATCAACTTGAATAATCTTCGTTACATAATCTGTTGGCTTGATAAATATCGGAACTAAAAAGCACGTCGCTTCACTACAATTCAAAATTAGAAGAGTCCAGGAAGTATTGCATTTTTGTCTGTGGTTGTTATTGATTTACAAATAAATGGACGACGGGTCTAATACAAAAACCACGAAAAAAATGTCCCAAGTCAACCTATTTAAACGTAGTTACATGTCAAGGAATATGAAAAAGCTAAAACGTTGAATTTAAATTGTAATGTCATCGCAGTACTGTCTAATATTGCTTGCTTCGCTGTCAGTCGAACAAACGAAGACTAGAGCGTGAATGACGCTCTGTATACGATTTTAACGCCCTATAAGTTCGGACACTTTTTAGCGCGGCCCCGACGTCCATATAATTGTAAGTCAATGGTGGTTGTATGTCAATAATTAGGGAACTTCAGAGGCGTTCATATCTCAAAAGTTAAATAAATGGTGGAACGGAGTATAGAAAGCTCACAACCAATCATGATAGGAACGTTCTCAACTAATCTAGAACGTTTGGAACGCTCTCGACCAATCATGAAGGTTTGAAACAAACTAAATCCAATAATAATGTTAGAATCACAGTGGACCAATCATGAACTTGTAGAATCCCCTCATTTATCGAAGCCGCACTTAATATCGACTTGTATCCGTGTAATCCTATAAGTTATTGCGAACTAGATTGTTTATTTGAGTGCACAAGTGTCTGACCTAACAATACTTAATAATAATATTTCCATATTTTGTGAACACACGTGCTAGATAAATTGAATACGCCTGCGATCATAATTTTTTTAATTACAATGCGACCGCTGACGACAATGAGTCGTCATATATAACTTTTGACATAGGCATGTCTCCGAAGTTCCCTAATTATTGACATATAACCATAGACAATAAAAAATGCAACACTTCCTAGACTCTTATAATTTTGAATTGTAGTGAAGCGACGTGCTATATAGCTCCGACATTTATCGAGCCAACAGATCATGTATCGAAGGTTATATACAATTTGATAATTTTTGGTACCTGTCTAATAAATTATAATGAAATGTAATAAATTATAAATAATTATGATAAATTCTTATTGTTATGATGAATCGTTGGATTCTTCTCCATATGAACGGGAATCATCGCTTGAATCGTCATTAACATTAATTGTTAATTCTTGAGTACACAAATTGTCAAACGTAACATCACGCTCCCAGTCAGACAATATCTTCTTTTTTGAACCCACTCACATTCACGATTGAAACTAGTTCATGAATAAAACCGATTGTTATAAAAAAATCGAATCGTAAACGCATTAGGATATCACTAATTGATTGGAATTCGAGTTGTCAAAAGTGAAATAAATAGTTGGACGGCGTATAAATACTCATGATTCTGGTTTTAACCGTCAAGGTATGAGTTAGTCTGAGGAAAATTATATTTTGCCTTTAATTATTTTATTGATACAGTTACAGATATGAGACACAATAGAATACAAAAACATTTTGAAAAAGCAATATAAATAAATAAACACACACACACAGACACAAACACACACACACGTGTGCGTACGAGCGTGCATGTGTGCGTACGTGCGTGCATATGTGTGTGCGTGCGTGCGTACGTGCGTGCGTGCGTGCGTGCGTGCGTGCGTGCGTGCGTGCGTGCGTGCGTGCGTGCGTGTGTGTGTAATCATTAGTAATCCTAACTACGTTTCTATGACACGGCATTTATAACTGGTTTTTTTCTGGCAACATTATTAATTGTGGGTGGCAATACAAAGAGCTACGCTTCATACATACGATTTCTCGACAAATCAGGAGTTAATTTATAAGTATTTTCTTTTTTACAGAAACGCCGAACCCAAACTCCACATTCAAGAGTATATAAAAGAAACAATGGACGTGGACGGGTTTGTTAACAGTCTAGAGCAATTCAGACATCTGGTGGATGCGAGGAGATACTCTTGTAATAAAACTCAGGAAGAATATCCCAAAGTTATGTTTCTTGGCACCGGCTCGTGTATACCAAGCAAGACGAGGAATACTAGCGCTATTGTATTACAAATTGAGTGAGTAAAGTTTTGATTGATAATAATACTAAAGTATTTATTTCAGAATCTTGTTCATAGTGTAGTAGGAGAACAAGGACCATAATGTGTTCATGTTTCTACCAGTAGGAGTATTTAGTAGAAGCACGAACCCGAACGTAGCTTTTGTATGTTTCTGTGAATTATAAAAATAATAACTTACACACTAATAGCCCCGCACTCTTAGGGAAACCCTGAGTTGCGGGTGCATTGGACACAAATAGACAACCAAAAATTACACCCACACCCACGAGAGAAATAAATGTAAGCCATACAAATATTTCTCCCGGCCCGGGAATCGAACCTGGGACCTGTGCGTGGCAGTCGTTGGTAACCGTGGTAACCATGGTAACCGTTCGCCACTGAGGCAGTTTTTGTTCCGAAGCTTCCCAATTAGGAATTATTGCTACATCAGTTTCAGTCAACTGTCTGATAGCATGTGAAATTGTGAAACGTCTGTTTTTAGTATAACTAATAAGGAATGCGTTCTGTTCCCAGTGACAATCGATCAATGCTACTGGACTGTGGCGAAGGCACATTCCTGCAGCTAGTGCGGTTCCTTGGCCCGAAACGCATCAACACTTTCCTTAGGTCTCTCAAGGTCATTTATATCTCACATCTTCACGCTGATCATCATATAGGTAAAATTTAAGCTTGTTTAATTTTATTTGATCTTACAAAATTATCAAAAATACCCAGAAAGGTAGAGTGTACGAAAGGATTGATACGATTAGATAGAGAAGATTTATTAGACGGTTTGTGGCAAGTGGTGATCACAGTGAAGACCATAAGTAGACAGGCGTGATGTACATATACGACGTGCTTGGAAAAACCAGAGTGAAGGCAATAGTTACAATTTATTGATTTAACTTAATCTTTGCTGGTGAATTTCATCAAAGTTTGAAAATACTTGTCATTTATGTATGTGTGAGTGCGTGCATATGTGCGTGCGTATATAAACATACATTTGATTCCTTGGTAATAGAGAATGTTTTTCAATACATTTGTTTTGTTTACCACATTAAGAAATCTCATAATCATATATCATAAAAAGCTGGGAGGTGCAAAGTCTGAGTCAGAAGCTTCATGGATCTCTCACAGATGTCGCTACCGTGATAAAAGCCGAAAAAAGACCAATACAAGAATCTGGAACAAATACTGAGCTTCCGAGCACACTGAATCCGATACGTATCAGTTCCGAATCCGAGAAATGACGTTCCGAAATGCCACAGGGATCATTTTATCTAAGCGATATTCTTATTTTCTTGGATTCGAATGGGACTTAGTGCACAATCGACATCCAAAGTGGGTTAGAGTTATCTAGATTTGTATAGTCTCGAATTTGGAACGAATACGAATTGGATGCAGTGTGCATCACTACCTCAGTTGGCAGACCCTAGTTTGGCATACAGACGCAGGTTCGAGTCCTGTCAGATCGA